TTACCTTGCATTCTACCTTTAAACTTCAATAAAAATGCTTATATGAAACTAGAGGCCCTATGCACAAAATACATGCAAGAGTAGGCCTTCCTTCCCCCAGCTGCCAGCACCAGCTTCCCTCTGGCACCTGGGACCCAGGCTTCCCCTGCAGCCCCGGCTTTCATCTGAAAGGTCATCCGGAAGGACATCTGGTCTAATTAGCATATTATGCCTTTATTATTACAGCTACTGTATATTTGTTTGCATGGATAGTTTTAAAACTCAAATAGTATATTGTAAAAATTTCTGTCTCTTATCTCATCTCCCATCCCAACCAGCACCATTGCTAGTACATTTTTGTGTTCTCCTACAGTTACTTAATAAGAACATAAAAATATGCATTCTTATTTCTCCTTTTTACATAAGGTAGCACACTATATATGCTATTCCACACCTTGTTACATTTAGATAATAGTATCTCTTGAAACTCTTTTCAAATCTATACATGCTATTGCTACATGGTATTGCCTTGTATATATTTATCATTTAACCAGTCCTCTCTTGATGAACATTGGAGTTGGGTGTTTTTTTTAGTTTTTTGCTGTTACAAACCATGATGCAATGAATAACTGTGGCATGTGTATAATTTCACAGGTGTGCAGATATATCAGCAGGCTATTTTATCAGAAGTGGAATTTCTGGGTCAATGTATGCAGTTTGTATGGGTGATTTTGGTGGATGTTGCCAACTTATCCCCCATAGAGTATACCAATTTACACATTCCTCAGCAGTGGCATTTCTACAGCATTACCAACAAGTATGTTTTCAAACTTTAGGATTTTTGCCAGCTTGATGAGTGGAAGGCAGTATCTCAGTATAGTTTTAATTTGTACTATCTTATTATGAGTGAGATTAAGTATCTTTTCATAGTTTTTAGAGCCATTCTTACTTATTTTTCCAACTTTTTTATATCTTTGTGCCAACTTTCTGTTTGTGAAATAATATTTTAATAATATTTTATGAATATCATTTTTCATATTTATCTCACATTGGATTATATTATTATACCATTCTTTATCTTTCTGTAATTGGGCATTTCATCTCCTTTTGAAGTGTGCCTATTACATTTATTTTGCTGAGAAGGTTATTAAAAGTTTTCCCCTTTAGGTTATTTATTTGGAAATCAGGAATTCTAAGATTGATTGTACGTTTTTGAATTAATTAGCTATGAGTAAACCACATAACTTATCTGGATCTCAGTTCCTTCATCTGTAAAATAAGGATGTTGAATTAAATGATTTCCTATTTCTGTGACCCTTTGAAATTTACCAAAAGCAATACATCAAATTTAATAGTCCTAAAATAATAGATACAGAAACAGGGCAGTAATATACTATTGCAGGTTTCAAAAAACTTATTATATATAATGCTCTGCTTTAGTAACAAAGCTATCTTTCACTTGCTTCCTTGACATTTCTTGGTTAGAAATACCTCTTCATCATTTTCAGCTCACATCAAAGCTATTTTTTAGAGGCATTTCTCTCTCTCTCTCTCTCTGTGTGTGTGTATGTGCGCTGTTAGGGAAGAAAAATACACTGCTTTTGATTTAATTTAATCTACATCATAAATTTGCATGTTAATCTTCATTATTGTATAACTGCTGCCAATTCACCCATTCAATTTTCTAGATTCAGTTGGAAAGCTTATCATAAATCTGTTTAAGTGGTTTCTCATAAAAAATTAACACATTGAACTACTTACACTATTTCTTCACTACAAAGTTAGGGATTAAATTATTATAGAACCTGTTCTCAGTGGGGTTTTTCTCTCTATTTACTTGGCTTCTATAAAAATGGCACTAGAGAATGTGAATAGAAATAGCTTTTAATGTGTACTTTGGGGAATGAGATTAGAACTATTGAAGAAATGACATGTATAATGTAATGTAACAGGCCTTGTGCTAGACTATGGTTTAGGAAGAGGAAAAGCCATATTTTTAACCTTAAAGGAAGCTCAGAGCCAAGTAGGGGAGGAAAACTTAAACAAATATGTTAACTACCATAAAGATCCCTACTAAGTGCAAGATAATTTAAATTAGGAAGCAGTGAATTATGCTTTGAGAAAATCAAATGGGAGGAACATGGATACTTTGATTTGAAAGTCATGTAACCAGAAAAAAAAAGCCCCTTTCTCGTTCAGTCTGCCTGGTGGAATAAGAGAATTAGGGACTTTATCCTGGCCTCAATATCCTTCTATTAATTCTCTGGACTGAGATACCAGAGATGATCCTAAGTCTTTTGGGATGCCCCTGACATTTCTATCAACTTGATCAAAATTCTATACCATTTTGAGGCTCAATACTAAACAAAAGCCTTTGCTGACTGACCCAGTCTTATGCTGGTCTTTCTTTGTTTTTTAATTCTCTAATATCTGTATCCAATCCTATCTAATAAAGAGGGAATATGCAAATTGACCATCACACCATCACAAAGATGGCGGCGCCCATAGCCACAAGATGGCGGCACCCAGTCTCCTCAGCCCCACTGGAGTCCCACAGTCCTTTCAGCCCAGCCGGGGAGGTGGCAGGCATGCAGTGGACGGGTCCGGCCACTCCTTGCGCCTGCCGCCGAAGTCCCACAGTCCTTTCAGCCCAGCCAGGGGGGCGGCAGGCACACAGTGCGGCTGGGCCCACCCTCAGTCCCCCAGCCACCCAGGGCCTGCCCGATGGTGCAGGCAAGCCTTGGATGTCAGTTGCCCAGCAGCCCAGGGCCGCCCAAGGCTCAGGTAACCAGGGCCGGCCGAGGCTTGAGCTGCCGGCAGTGGCAGCAGCAGAGGTGTGATGGGGCGTCGCCTTCCCCTGATCGCCGGGTCACCTCCTGCCCCTGAGGGCTCCCCACCTGTGAGAGGGGGCAGGCCGGGCTGAGGAAACCCCCTCCAGTGCATGAATTTTCATGCACCAGGCCTCTAGTATATTTATATGTATTCAGGATGGAAATGTACCATTTCAAAAATGTTTAATGTGAATCTTGTCCAATTAAAATATAAAAATTTGGGGGCCTTTTAGGTATCACATAGGGCTGAATAGTATGGACTTAATTTTTTTGTGTTAGAACTTCCCAGTACTTCTCTTAGATGCTGAATTCGTCAGCTTTTGCTGTGATAGCAGACAACCCCCAAATTTTCAGGGCTTACAATAACATTTATTTCTCACCAGCATTTTGTAGGTTGGCACCGGCTCAGCTTGTCCTGATGCTGCCTGCCTCTCTGCTGAGATCTGGTCATTATGGAACCAAGGTTGAAGGATTAATGTCTTCCTGGGGCATAATCTCTTGGTTAGAGTGCAGGGCACAAGAAGGCTAACAGAAATAGCTCTTAAAAGAACTTCATGACACTGGGCCACATTTCAATGGTCATAGCAAGGCATTTTGCAAGATACACACCCAAAACGAAGAGTGGGGAAGTATTATTTACCTACGGGATGGAAGAGTGAATGTTTATTGAACAGTATGACCTAATATAGATATTTCTGAATTAAAACAAAAAGTTAAAGGAACAGGTGAAGTTATAAGTATGAAACAAAAGAACCTAGTGGGGAGGAGGGCTTCCAAGGCTCTAGGAGTGGGAGAAGATTTACTGTAATTAAAACTTAAATTACTTTAATAAAAGTAATATTAACATTATAGGTAGGGGCAGCAAAGTGTCCTAGTTAAAATCCGGGCTCTGGAGTCAGTCCACTCTTGGTTCAGATTCTGGATCTACCAATTCTAGCTGTAGTGACTAGTCCTCAGCAAGTCACTGTATCTCAATATTCACATCTGTAAAATGGATGTGCCACTTACCAAACTGTTGGTTTTCAGCTCTAAACCCATCTTCCATTGTCTTATTTGTGATATTGGACATTTCTTCCTTTCCAGCTTTTGTTAAGCTCTGTCAGTAGAGGAACTAGAGGGAGACTGGAGAAGGAAGGGGTGCTATTCTCTGATTCTGGTGTGCTCCTTGTATGCTGCAGTGGCCAGCAGCATGTGGGACACCCAGTGGCACTCAGTTCCTAGGGACTTTTAGTGGCAACACTTCTACATGCCATTTCCAAGTGAATTTCATACAATGACATCGCCTCCCCATGGACACTTTCCCAGGTTCTACTGATCCGAGTTTTCCTAGTAAATGGCTTTACTGTGAGTTCTGTTGATGTGGCACTTTAGTAAATTTTGTGGACATCAGTGGCTGTGTCCTCACCACAGGTCTGGAACTCCACCCTGTTAGGAGTAGCCTTTTTATATATTTACTAAAGTCCCAGTGCATGGATTCGTGCACCGGTGGGGTCCCTCGGCCTGGCCTGCACCCTCTCGCAACCCAGGACCCCTCAGGGGATGTTGGACTGCTTGTTTCTGCTCAGTCCCTGCAGGCCAGGCTGAGGGACCCCACCGGTGCATGAATCCGTGCACCAGGCCTCTAGTATGCATATAAGATCTTTGGTTAATCTCTTCCCGCCCTCCACCTTCCCTCTTTTCTCTGAGATTCATCAGTCTGTTCCATGTTCTGGAGTCAGTCCACTCTTGGTTCAGATTCTGGATCTACTACTGTGCATTGAACGTCTGCCCCCTGGTGGTCAGTGCACATCATAGCTACCAGTTGAAAGGTCGAACAGTCGAATGGTCACTTAGGCTTTTATACATATAGATTTTCTTGTTGGTCTGCATTGGCCCTTGAAGTAGTGGCTGCCCTCTTTATCTGCTGTCTCTTTACCCTTTACTACTTAGTCTCCTGTTATAATTAATAATGCTTTATATTAAATTTTCTGTTTCTTGTCTTCTAATTGTATCTTGACTGATATATCAGGTTTATAAATTGTACTTTTCTATACAACTGTTCTGAGGATTAAATGAGATAATGTGTGGTATTGCAAAGTGTTTAGAATGGTGTCTACCACTAAATACTTATATTTGTTTGTGGAATTGATGTAATCATCATCACCATCACCACCACTAGTTAGAAGTAACATTTCTACTTTTTGTTCACAGGATGTTTCGTCTTAAGTCACTTTATGCATTGGCAGAACTGGCCCTGGGCTCTCGATGGTACCATGGAGGATCACAGCCCACCCAGGTCAGGCGTCGACTAATGGTAGTGGCTTTTCTGGGAGCATCTGCAGTAACTGCAAGTACTGGTCTTTTGTGGAAGAGGTAAGTGTTAGCTGCGCATCCTGTTCTTACATGTACTTTCATTCTTCCAGTTCTAAAAAGAATTGATTTCTGGCTTACCTTTGTGTCAAAATTTCTTGCACAAATAATTTGGCATTGATAATATTTATCTATGAAATAAGATGTTTCAGAGAATTCTGCTATCATTTCAGAACAACCAATAGGAAGTATTCTGCTTTAGTATCTGCCTGTCTCCTTGCTGAACATTTTTAACTAATTTACCAATTTAATAACTTTAATACATTTATAATAATTAAGATAATATAATAAATTTAATAATCTAACAATTTAACATATAAAATTAAGTATTTTTAAGTATATTCCCAAAGTTGTGCAGCCATCACCACTATCTAATTCCCAAAAATTTTCATCACTTCATAAGAAACTCCATACCATTTAGCAGTCACCTTCCACTTTCTCCATATTCTCTGGCCCACACAACCACTAACCTACTTTCTGTCTATAGATTTGCCTATTCTGGACATTTCATATGAATGCAGTCTTATCATCTGTGGTCTTATGTGATAGGCTTATTCACTTAGCATAATGGTTTCAAGGTTCACCTAAGTGGTACTATGAACCACTACTTCATTTCTTTTTATGGTCAAATCATATTCTGTTGTACGGAGTATATACCACATTTTATTTATTCACATCCCTGTTGATGGCTATTTAGGTTGTTTCTGATTTTTAGCTATTATAAGTAATACTGCTGTGACCATTTGTGTACAATTTTTGGGGTAGAGTATGTTTTCATGAGTGAAATTTCTGGATCATATGGTAGCTCTGTGTTTAGCTATTTGAGGAACTGATGGACTTTTTTCTAGTCTCACTAGTGATGTATGTGTGCACTTGTGAGTGTGCATGTATGTGCTTAGATTTCCTCATATGTAAAATGGGGATAGGATAACCTGGTGAAGGAAGTAGACATACAAGTCCAGGAAGCACAGAGTCCCAAAAGGATGAAGTTAAAGAGGCCTACACCAAACCACATCATAATTAAAATGCCAAAGGTTAAGAAAGAAAGAATCTTAAAAGCAGCAAGAGAAAAGTAGTTAGTTACCTACAGCTCCCATAACACTGTCAGCTGATTTCTCAACAGAAGCATTTTAGGCCAGAGGGATTGGCATGAAATATTCAAAGTGATCTACAACCAAGATAAAGAACTTTTCAGACAGAAAAACCTAAGGGAGTTCATCACCGTCAAACCAATATTACAAGAAATGTTAAAAGGTCCTCTTTAAGAAGGAAATGAAAAATATGAATAATAAAAAAGCAATAAGTACATATCTATCAACAATTACTTTAATTTTTTATTGAGTTTATTGGGGTGACATTGGTTAATAAAATTATATAGGTTTGAGGTATATAATTCAACAATACATTATCTAAAAATTGTGTTGTATATTTACCACCCCAAGTCAAGCAATCAATAATTACATTATACACTGAGTGGCCAGATTATTATGACCACCTGACATTTGTAGGCAAATTAGCCGTACACTGCATCGTATGGGATATGGAAGCCGAAGGCCTGTTTGAACACCTTTGCTGTCTGCAGTTACCAAGATAAAATGTCTCCAATTCGCACAGGAACACAATGAACAGTCGAGCATTGAAAAAAAGTCATGTGATCCGATAAGTCACATTTCCAGTTGCATCATGCAGATGGCAGAGTGAAAATTTGGCAGAAACAGCATGAAAGCATGCACCCCACATGCATGAGTACAACCCTTCAAGCTGGTGGGGGCAGTGTTTTGGTTTGGGGCATGTTTTCCTGGCATGATTTGGGCCCTTTAATTCGTGTGGAACAACGTCTGAATAGCACAACATACCTAAGTATCGTTGCTGATCAAATTCATCCTATCATGTTGATGGCGTATCCCAATGGAGACGGCTTCTTCCAACAAGACAATGCGCCATGCCACGGTGTTCGTATTGTGCAGGAGTGGTTTCAAGAACATGAGGGAGACTTTACCTTGCTTAGGTGGCCCCCACAATCACCAGATCTCAATCCAATTGAGCATTTGTGGGACGAAATTAAAAGAGCCATCAGGCAGCTGGTTCCACAACCATCAGATCTCACAGAACTGGACAGTGCTATTCATCAGGCATGGTGTCAGATTCCTCGCATCACCTTTCAACATCTTGTGGAGTCAATGCCAAGAAGAATCGCCACAGTATTGAAGGCAAAAGGTGGCCCAACGAAGTACTGATGGAGTGGTCATAATAATCTGGCCAGTCATAATAATCTGGCCACTCAGTGTATGTGTCGGCCAATAGTGTATCTTATTTTGAGAAATGTCTATTAGTTCCTTTGCTCATTTTTAATGGGTTATTTGTTTTTTTGTAATTATGTTGTAAAAGTTCCCTGTATATTTTTAATATTAACCCTTTATTATAAAACATGGTTTGCAAATACTTTCTTCCATTTCGGGTATTGCCTTTTCATTTTGTTGATTGTTTCCTCTGCTGTGCTGAAGCGTTTTCGTTTCACATAGTCCTGCTAGTCTATTTTTGCTTCCATTCCAGGTGTTGCCTGTGCTTTTGGTGTCATATCCTTTACTTTTAAGGCTGAATATTCTATGTATATACCACATTTTCTTTATCCATTCATCTGTCAGTAGACATTTGGGTTGCTTCCACATTTTAGATATTGTGAGTAATGCTGCTATTAACATGAGTGTGAAAAAAATTTCCTTATTACACTGCTTTCAGTTCTTTTGAATATATAACCAGATTGAGATTTCTGAATCATATGGTAGTTCTATTTTTAATATTTTGAGGAATTTCTTCATGTAAACTTTTTACAAATTCCATTGCTGTTGCTCCTTCTAAGCTGTATCTGAAAATCTTTATTTGGTTAGTATGATGGACCTTCATGATTAATGTGTGTGTGTGTGTGTGTGTGTGTGTGTGTGTTTATTTATTTATTTATTTATTTATTTATTTATTTATTTAATCAATCTAGAGCCCTTGCAGAATCTCCACCATCTGTAAAAAAGAGTGAAGTTGGTGATAAAGGAAAGAATAAAGATGAAGGGGAAGTTTGTAACCATGAGAAAAAGGCTGATGATACTTGTCCTGAGCTTCATCCAGAAGAGAAAAAGAAGAAACGTTCTGGATTCAGAGATAGAAAAGTATGGAACACAGTTATATAATTAATCAGAACTATAGTTAATCCAATATTATAATAATGCAGTTCAGTTTCTTTTATGATGTATTGCATATGGTTCATATTCACTCTGAAGTTATTCACTTCTTCACTATTTTCCATCATGTTCTAAGGCAAACATACTCTTAGAATGTAAAGTTAATGGAGTTAGGAAAAGGACCTAAAGTTACTAATCAGGATTAGCATATATTTTCCTCATTCTTTTAATTTAGCTACCTAACATTGATCTTGCTATCTGATCTTTCTGATGTTGAACATTCTCATATTTGTTAATTGAGTCCTTGTGGTAATAAAGATTTATGATGTCAAGTTGTAAAGGTAGAATAAAATATCTTGGGAAATAAACAGATATTTCCAGAAAATCAAATAAATTTGAGGACAGCATGAACTTCAAAGGACTTCAACATTCTATATATTTAACATGACCTGTTGTTCTATGCTTTTTCTCAAAAAAGTTTCAGTTTCACTATAACAATGCCTATGATATTGGGCATTTGAATTCAGCAGACATGAGTGATGAAAAGTCAGAAGGGTGAATTTATTAGATATTTTGCATGTTAACATTAAAATTCAGGAAATTGCTTTCACTTGCTAAAATATACCTAATCAATGCAAGAAGATAATTTGACTTATTTCTGTAGTGTGTGTGTGTGTGGGGGGGGGTACATATTTGCAAGAAGAATTTCTTTGAGAAATTTGGATTTTCTGTTTGTCTGTTTGTATGAAGTTATTAAGTCTTTTCATTTCCTAAATTCATTTCTTACTGAGGTGAATTTGAACAAAAGCTACGTCTCACAAGTTAATTGTCAACTATCCCAGTGTTTCCACAATACAGTTATTTAAATCTTTTGCCCTGAGTGAATTCAAGGAAATTTCAAATTTTTCTTACTCCAGTAGTTTCATTTAGTAGTTTCATTTAGAGTTAAACTTTTACAAAGTAGAGCTAAAATGACCCATATAAACATTTATTTTGAACCTTCCACTTTCTACTCCCGCTGTCTGTTCAACAGATGACCATATCTCATAAGTTAGAAAAAAATGAAAGCTGTCAATGTAATTAATTTTTAACTCCATAGCTATAAAAACCTTTCTTGTCTCTGCTTGAAATAATTCTTTTTTTTTAAAAGGAGGAACTTTATATATATATATAATATATATATGTATATATAATATACATATATATATTATATATATATATATACATATATATATTATATATATATATACTTTATTGATTTTTTACAGAGAAGAAGGAAGAGGGATAGAGAGTTAGAAACATCCATGAGAGATTGATCAGCTGCCTCCTGCACGCCCCCCAGTGGGGATGTGCCCACAACCAAGGTACATGCCCTTGACCGGAATGGAACCTGGGACCCTTCAGTCTGCAGGCCGACGCGCTATCTATTGAGCCAAACCGGTTCGGCTTGAAATAATTCTTTTTTCTTTCACTAAAGTCTCAGTGGAAGAGCTGTTTTTTCTGTTCGAGCATAATCATTCCACATGTTATCCTGTCTTACCAAGAACTTTTGTCAACACTTATTCTTTCTTTATGCTGTTGTTTGTCAGTTACTGTTTGTTTTTGTGTTTGTTTTTACATAGTCTACCTATGTAGTCACATTAAAGATTCTTCTATCTTTAATTAAATAATAAACTGCACTTATGATCAGTTTTTTTCTAGCTATGTCCCATTTACATTCTTTCCCTGTAATACCAAATTGCTCCAGTATCTACATGCAATTTTGACATTCTCAGTTTTCTTTTAAACTTTTTACTTTTGTTCCTTCATGTTTTCTTGATTTTCATGTAATATGTCAAATATCCAAGAAAATAAAGACTACTAAAATGAACATACATGTACCCAATACTTGTTTTGTCATTTTAGCATTCTCCTATATTTGCTTCAGTTGTTGTTTTTAATACTCACCTAAGGAAGTGTTTTTATTGATTTTTGAGAGAGAGGAAGAGGGAGAGAAAAAAACATTGATGATAGAGAAACATCGATCGGTGGCCTCCTGCACGTACCCACTGGGACTCAAACCCATAATATAGGTATGTGCCCTGACTGGGAATCGAACCCACAACATTTTGGTGTACAAGATGATGCTCCAACCAACTGAAACACCTAGCCAGGGATTCAGTGTTTTTTTTTTCTTTTGTTCTTTAAAGAAACGAAATGAATATAAAATACACATGGCTATATACTCTTGTCAGTCCCATTTTTCTCTCTTCCACGTCAGAGCCAAACCAGTGTCCTGAATTTACTATTTATTCCCATGCATGGCCTGGTTGTTTTATTTTTTAAAAAATTCCAGGTGCACAGAGTTAGGAAAATCTTTGTGGATGCAGTTTTTGTTGCTTTGTGCATGCTTCTCTCATTTTGTTTTGTTATTTTTAAAATTTTTTTGTCCCTTCTGAAACCTCAAGTCCTCAATTCTGAAAAATTCTCAGACATCACCTCAATATTGCTTCACTGTCATTTCTTTCTTTTGGAACTCCACTTGGATTTAAAAGAACCTATCCTTTGTATCTTTTAACTGCTCTTTTATATTTTTTCTCATTAGTTGTTTTCGCACTCCTCCAGGGTCTCTCTTTTCTTTCAATTTTTTTTATTGTGATAAAATACATATAACATGGTATTTACCATCTTAACTGTTCTTAAGTGTACAGTTCAGTGGTATTCAGTACATATTGAAAAGAGTATATAGCAATGTACAACCATTACCAGCATTCATCTCTATAACTGTTTTCATATTATAAAACTGAAAATATAAACCTGTTAAATAATAACTCCTTACTACCCCTTTCCCCTAGCCCTGGCAACACCATTTTACTTCCTGTCACTATGATTTTGAATACTAAAAGAATGTCATACAAATGGAAGCATACAGTATTTTCATTTTTTTGTGACTGGCTTATTGTGCTTAGTATAATGTTTTCAAGGTTGTTCATGTTGTAGCATATATCTGAATTTTCTTCCTTTTTTAGGGCTGAATAATATTCTGTTGTATATGTATACTACCTATTGCTCATCCAGTTATCCAGGTAGCTTCCACATTTTAGCTCTTGTCAATAATGCTGCTATGAACATAGAGTACATAGATATCTCTTTGATATTCCACTTCCCATTCTTTTGTATATGTACCCAAATATAAAATTGCTGGGTCATATGGTAATTCTATTTTTGTTTTGTTTTGTTTTGTTTTGTTGTTGTTGTTAATCTTCACCTGGGGATACTTTTTCCATTGATTTTTAGAGGGAGAGTGGTTGCTGTATTCTGAACCCTTTATTGTTAGTGCTCCTTTTAACATGACCACTTAAAAGGAGGCAGTTCCATATAAACTGATATGGAATGATCTCCAAGATACATCGCTAAGTGGAAAAACAAAATACATACTATACAGTTTGTCTGTATGAAACTCTACCAATACAGGAATGCAAAAAGTGTATTACTTTACTTGACCTATTATTTCAAACTAAAACTTATTAATAATATTAAGCAGCATAATTTAGTGATATTGTAACAACCAAGGAGTCTGATTTTCAGTCTGAAAATCATTAACTTTTAAATTATCTTTCTACCTTTGTATATGATTGACTCAACTATTTTTGGTTCACAAAGCCATCTTTAGCAGTAGCTACAACTTATATCTTAAATGTTACAAACTGATTATTTTTTGTTGTTACTCAGAAGAACAAACATATAGAGGGCCTAAAGACAGAAGTTTATTCTGTAGCCAGTATTAGCCAGCAGACAGTTGTAGTATAAAATGCCTTTGATTTAAGACTTTTGGCTAAGTCTTAAAGTCACTAAGGGGTCGAAAAGTTCCTTAGTGTGTTTGCCACATGCCAAATCTTTTTATAAAATCTCTGAAGTCAGTATTCAGATTTTTATGAAAATTAGCATTAGGAAGACTCTTGTCATGTATAGTTACAAATTAGCAGTCCTTTCTTAGTTGCTGAAAGCACATCTGGCAGTGGAATTAAGACCATTGTTAAACAGCTGCTGTCAGTGACCTCAAAGTGGCCATCTAGCCAGGACTGACAGTTATAGTAATGGCTGTGTTAATATGGCAAATTAAAAACATTAACAGTGTTTTTCTTAATGTTATGTATTGCTTTTTAGACATTGAACTGATGGGATTTTAGATTGTATTGCCTTGACACTTTTTCTAACCAGTTATTTATAAGATACTATTTATTGTTGACTATCTCAACATATAAAATTCAGGTCTGAGAGAAATCTCTTCACCAAAGTACTATGTATTTGATATTTTGATGAAAGAGATTTCTCTCATACCAGAATTTGTAAAAAGAATGCTATGCAGAAGTTATAGTATTTTGTTTGTCCCATGCACAGAATGGGGGCTAGGATCCCAGATAAGGAAATGAGTTTTCATATTAACATTCTGATCTTTTAGCTAAATGTATACCTTATGTGATTTTGTTCCTATTCAAATATTTGCTTGTGCTCTTCCCAAGTCTGCTCTTTTCTAAATATGCTATAAATAGAGGATCTCTAGCAGTTTGCTTAATTTTATAGAAAAAGTAGAAGTCTTATTGTTTGAGACCTGTTAATAACTGAGTTTCCATGGTATGTAACTTTATTTTTTGATGCTATCATTTTATGTACTTTGTTTTTGAAAGACTATTAGTTGTTCAAAACTATGAAGTCCCAAGTCTGTTTTGTTTTAGGATTTAGGAAATTTCATAGAAGTAAAAACTGTAAAATCTATTCCTTTTTAAAGACTTGGTAATTAAGAACCTGTAGACTACCATATATATGGCATTATACCCCTGTTACTGAGATGTTTTGAATTCTTGTATGACATTTTTCAATTTTGCTAGCTTTCAATGATTTAAAAAATAAGAAAATTCTTCAAAAATTTCTAAACAGAAGTTACACAAGTATTGCCTCAAATAAGGTATGAAAAGTATATTGGAAGAAAGTGGTTCAAGCTTTTGAAATTCAAGTTTGTTTCTAATATTTTAAAAATCTAGTAATAGAAAAAGTTATATAATTTAAAATTCCCTAAAAATAAGATACAAAATGTATGAAAATGAAAATTGCTTAATAATAATACCCCGGATTTCTAATTTTAGGTAATGGAATACGAGAATAGGATTAGAGCATATTCCACACCAGACAAAATCTTCCGATATTTTGCCACCTTGAAAGTAATCAGTGAGCATGGTGAATCTGAAGTGTTTATGACTCCACAAGATTTTGTGCGATCCATAACACCCAATGAAAAACAACCAGAACGTAAGTTGTTGATGTGAAAAATGAGGTTGTTATATTACTTTTTGTTATATGCTACTTTGTTTCTTTCTGTGTATTGCCTAAACTTTATAGGCCCATGCAATAATTATATTCACTGTGTAGCTACTGTATGTCAGGCATCATGCTAGGCTTTGGGAGTACAAAAGAGGAGCCTATAGTCTAATGTGGCAATCCTCAGCCAGATTAAAGGATTGAGGAAAGTGTACTACTACTCCGGCTGAGGTTCATTGCCTGTAATGAGAACGTTCCTGAAGGCAATGCATTACAATGTGACTGCTATCAAGTTGCTCGTTAGTGAGGGAGACAGAAACAGTTATGAGAAACTTCAAGAATGTAGTGATTTGTTAAAGAACGATGGTGCTATGGCAGTATAAACAAGGGGCACTTAGTTAAATCTGAAAGGTGGGAGAATGATTTCTAGAGAATGCATCTAAGTTTGGATAAAAGTCTATATAGGCATTGTACTTACTTCACAGAGACATTAAATCAAGTATCTTAAATATGCTCTAAGAGTAGTGGAAAGGATGTCTCATATAGAGGAAACAGCCTAAACAAACAAGGTGTGATGAAAGAAAATAAATGGCTTAACATTTTAAGTTAAATGTAACAATTTACAAATATATATGGGAAACATGGTGGGGGAAATGACAGAGTTGAGAGCTCTGTGAATTCCACTGATGCAACCATTAAGCTGCCAAAAATGGACAGAAGTAACTATAGTGGACCTCTGGAATCTAATAAAAAACTTACAGCAGCCAGGGAGTGCTTAATGAAGAAAGGCTGCTAAATTTTGGTAAAAAAGTGTTGTGGCCTTTTGCTCCCTGAGGGACTAGCGCAAAGGCTTGCCCTTTCTTTCACTCACCTCAAGCTGGAGTGGTTTCCCACTTGCCATCCACTGAAAAAGTTTAAGACATATACTACTTGCAGTTCCCAGGCTAAGAGAGGGCAGATGGGACAAGCAGCAGACAGACTGAACAGCCTAGAAAAGAGGACACTGAGGAGGAAGACATTTCAGGGGAGAAGAGCTTTGAAGGGCTACTGCATAGGGGAATCCAGAGTGCAACATGCGTTCTCAGGGCCAGACACATGCTTGGAAAGACCTGAGTGGGCTTTTTCCTCTTGTTGATTTTTGGGCTCCCTGTAAGGAGGTGAAAATTAAGGTAGAGTTATTAAATTTCTAGCTAAATGTCAAAGGAGAGCCCTACCTCAGAGCCAGTCTGCATATAGTGGAAGAGTTAGGGGGGTTTTTGTTTTGTTTTTTAATTCTTTTTGCCTCCAACATTTAAGGAATTCTCTATCAGGTCACTTACTGACTGCTTAGATAGAAAAGAAACTTCAGTGGTGACACATGATAAGGAATGCAGTCTTTGCAAAAATAATTTGCAAAGTGATGGCGTGAGTTACAACACCAAATCCTGGGATTCAGGAAGAATTTTATTTCTTGAATTACCACATTATAATATTAAAAATATCCAATTTTAAATTTTAAAAAATTACATGACAGTCCAGTGATCAGGAATATATGACCCATTACCAGAAAAAAAAAATTTAAAGGAAACATCCCATGAGAAAGCCTAGGTAGGCATTCCACTTACTTTACAAAGACTTTAAATCAGTTATCTTAAATATGCTCAAAGAGCAAGAGAAAACCATAGACAAAGAACTGTAGGAAACAGGGAGATAGTGTATTGATAAAAAGAGACTACCCATAAAGAAATAGAAAATTTTAAAAGGAGCTAAATAGAAATTCTTTAGCTAAAAAGTACAGTAGCTGAAATTTAAAAAATCTCTAGAAGAGTTCAACATCAAATATGAGCAGGCAGATAAAAAAAATCAGTGAACTTGTAGATACATCAGTTCATATTGTCATGTCTGAGGAACAGAAAATAAAAAGTATGAATAAAAATGAACAGAGCCTTGTGGAACACCATCAAGTGTAATAACATATACACACCTTCAAGTGTGACAACATATGCATAATATTGTTAAGACATTTCCAGATGATCAAAAGCTGAGGAATTTTGTTATTAATAGACCTTCCCTTCAGGAAATACCAAATGGAATCCTTTAGTCTGAAATGAAAGGATACGAGACAGTAACTCAAAGCCATACAGAGAAATTAAAGGTGTGGTTCCGGTTAAGATAGCAGATTAGGTAAACACTGTGCTCACCTTATCCCACAACCACATCAGAATTATAGCTAAAATATAGAACAAGCATCACTGAGAACCACCTGAAGTCTAGCTGAACAGAATTCCTATAACTAAGGATATACAGAAGAAGCCGTTTCGAAACTGGTAGGAGGGATGGAGATGCAGACCAGGCTGGTGCCACACCCATGTGTGGCTGTTAAAAATTGGGAGAGATATCTTGGCTGCAGAGTTCCACCCTGAGGAGTGAGGGGTCCCAGCCCCACACCATGAAAAGATAAAATGAAGCATGTTCTTTGTTACTGTGTAATCTTTTTGAACATGTGTGAGGTTTCAGGTTAGATTTGTTTTTAAATGTTTCCTGACTTATCTTTTGCAGTCAATGGTTCATTTTGTTATGGTGGGTGTCTAGAAACTGAAGCATATCTATAATAATAATAGTGTAATATGCTAATTAGACCAGACGTCCTTCCGGACAACCTTCCAGACGAAGCCACAATGGCGGGGGCCGAGACAGAGGTGGCCGGCGTGGCGGGTGGGCGGGGGCAGAGGCAGCCGTGGCAGCGGCAGGGCCGAGCCCCTTGTATAAATTTTGTGCATCGGGCCTCTAGTTTTAGATAAGGAGAATGTATAACCAAATGTGTAGAAGCGAAAGTACAAAAAGCTTCCTCTGGGAGGGATGATAATCAAATCATTGTACTCTGGATATAGGAAGATAAGGTCTGAGCTAGAATGAACACTGTAAGAACTGAAAGAAAAGAACTAAGTAATTATGCAAGAAAAAGTAAGCATAATTGAGAACCGACTTCTAAACCCTCTAAAAACTTCCACAGCACCCTCTTATTGGGCTAATTTTATGCTCCCTTGTAATGTTAATTATTATGTACATATGTCTTTCTAAATTTTATATTCATTTGTTAATAGACATTTATTGATCAAGCACTATTCCTGAGATAAAGAAAGAAGTAGGCAAAGACAATAAAATGCCTGCCCTCAAGGGCACTTAATATATTTACTTACATCTTTCACAGTGCTTAGAATTCAATGCTAGGTATTCCCAGGGTAAATATTTATTACTTAACCCAATTTTAAAAGGTAATATTAAGATGGTCTATTTGTATCTGTTTATATGTGTTACAAAAATTCCTTTTGATATTAAACTTATTTTTCTTTAACTTGATCCAAAAGAAGTATTATGTATTCAGATTAATCTAATGTCTCTCAGTTTATTTAGAGGTAATTAGTACTTTGATGTAATGAAAAGAGTACCACCCTGGGAAGAGTCCTGGATTCTAGTTTGGCTCTGCTGTTGAATAGGTTTGCACATGAACCTTTACCCTTTTTATCCTCTCAGAGCCTCAGTTCTCATATGTAAAGTAAAACATTGGTATCTTATAGCAGTTACACTTTGAGTTTGAAAGTGGGACAAAATTTTCATTCTTGTTACCTTGGAATAATATTGTAGCTAAATTATCTAGTACATTTAATTGAATGATTGGAAACAAAACTGAGAGCTGTCATTTCATGTTTCATTTGAGTTGATTGAATTGTTTTTTCTTTACAGACTTGGGCCTGGATCAATATATAATAAAACGCTTTGATGGAAAGGTGAGCAAACTATGGCACATGTATATCCTGTTTACTAATAATATTTTAAAGTTCCTCCAGTATTTGTGAGAGATTTCTGAATACATGTTTATCTTATCAAAAAAGAGTGTTGCTTAGATTGGGAGGCCTGTAAGTGCCTTCAGATGCTTCTACAGGAAGAGCCAAACAGAAGTTTCTTCTATCTTTATCCACACAGGTAACACTCGTGGACTGCCTGCTGTTTATATTAAGGCCTAATTCAGTGTATGTTGACATTTGAGCTTTAATTCAAAAGCCACAAAAGTTAACAATCTCCCCAATATTGCATTTGTTTTAGAAACACCTATCTGATTTGACCTTCCTCAAACTATGCTAGTATATAGCAGTAACTTAAGAAAATTAGGGAAGTCCTTCCTAGTGCTTTTATAATAGTTATGAAGACCCCAAATTTACATATGTTTGCCTTATACTTACTTTTAATTCTTTATTTTATGCCTGGAATAAATCATTCATAATAAATCATTCTTAAGTATAGAAAATGAAACTTTTAATTTTATTATCTCAAAGCAGTTAGTTAAACATGTTTTTCCCTTTCAGGCTGAATTCTACAAAAAGAGAAAGAACCTATTACACAGGGTCAGAAAGAAAAGTAAAAGGTCAATTTTAAAGTGGAGGAAGAAAGAAGAAAGAGCCAGGAGTGGTTCTACAAAGCCTAAAGTGAAGGAAATCAGGAGGCAAATCATGCAGTGGCTGGAAAAGGCAGGATCACAAAAGAGGGTCTAGATGGGTAGAGGTCAGGGTTAGTAGAAACTGATCTTGCAGGAAGGTGTCCATCCTGCTTCATTATGTAAACTCCACATACTGGTAAGGTAAAGATATAAGTGCTAAGGTCTTTTGTGGAAATAATGAGTGGCTGACTTAAGAGTTGAGAGAGCTCAGCCAGTGCTTCCAGCCTAAAAATTACCTTTCCTATTCAGGTGGCACAGTGCCTCCATCTGTGAGTATCTTCTTTTTAAAGTCACATAATCTAAGAGAAACAGTGATTAAAAAAAAGAAAAGGCATTGAACTTGTTGTTAGGAGACCTAGGTTCAGAGTCTAGCTCTGCTTTGTGACAGACACATCTTCCCCTGATCCTTGGTGTCTGCTTTATGTATGATAAAGTACCGTATCCATGTTAGCGGTTATTTGCAGACACTGATGTCACGGTCTGATTTCAGAGTCTCTGGCAAGTTGGGCCCCTGGCTTTTCTGTTTTTGTGTCACTCAGAGTCCAACATATGCCTGGCACACAGGAGGTAACCAGTAAATATTTGATGACTTGGGAAAAATCAGCTGGTCAATGCATATTTCTTGGAGGTATGACTCACTTAGTCAGTGATATCTTAAAGCAGAATCAATTTAACAAATCACTCATTTCATCATTGAAAGAATCCAGAGTAGCATGAGAATTCAATTCTCTATTGTATATATGTAAACCTGAAAACATGCAAAGAAGTTGAATATGTGCAACTTGAACAGTAAATTTATGAATTATCTTTTATTTCAGATGAAGCTAAGAAAATAGCTTTGGTACTGTTTTTAGACTTAATTATAATGAAGAGTGCAAAATTTATTGTTTAATAACTTTAGAGGTTTTTCCAGGGTTTTTTGCATGTATAAAACCTTTGCTTAATAACTATAAGGATCAACACTTATTTAGTTATCAGTCTTCTTATTTATTTTCCTTTGTATCTTCCTGACTCTTTTGTTGTCTCAATCAGGAAATCTTAATCCTTAAGTAGCAGTTTCTAGAGTATATAAATCATAAAACAATTATTGAATTTTTGAAAAAAAAACCCCACAAAAAAACAGATTTGTGTGGTAATTATAGTAAATTTCATACATGATATGGCCAGAAATTTAGTAGAAATCTAACATCCTAGAGGAATTTCCTTCTAAACTTGCTTTGATGTTTAAATGGATCATTTTCTCTCTTTTTTTTCTTTTTTAACTTGGAAGATAACTAATTATGAACTGCTTAGAGAAAGAATATTAACTCTCATTCTCTTATTCCCCATTGTTTTAACTTTTGACCAGTAAGAAGCACTAACTTATTTTATTGCCTTCTAATTGAATTGCACTTTAGCCTTTTTGTCATTGAAAGCAGGCAGATGTAGAAATAGTATTATTTTCCTGGGGTCTTTTCTCATTTATACTTGAATTTCATACAATTTCCAAAAGCAGAGTAGAAAAGAATGGTTCAACTGATATTGACAAATAATTGGATAGTTATTTCTTTCTTTAATACCTATCCTCTTTTCTCCTATTCTGTTTGACTAAAAGTAAATAGAATTTCCTTAAGGTATAAATAAAACATTCTGATTTCAAATGATAGCCATTGAAAGTGAATTTGATAAAGCGGCTTTTGAATTTTGGGAGGATTATTTTCCAGAGCCCATCACTACCTTATGTTAATGTACCCTTACTCTAAGGATATTTCAATTTCCTTTGTACAAAGTCATGAAATACATTATTATTGGCACTTGCATCATTTATGCATTTTAAAACTATCTAACACAGGCTATGTATAAAGAAGCTATAGTCAATGGCCTTTAGTTTTAAGAATATATTTTGTAGATAAGTGATATTTTTTAAATATTCAGACTAGGTTTAAAAGGTTAAAAATCTCAAACCTGGAAAGAGTTCATATTTTATTAAAGGATATTTTAAAATCATTATAAATAGCAGATCAACATCATTATGCAAATGATATACTATAAAATATGGTCTGGCTTTTGTTTTGTTTAGATTTTTTTAAAAACCCTTCTCCCCCAGCAGTGCACAATGTTCATACATTTTACTTTTGTTAATGCAGTTATTTCATGAATTTTGAATTATTTCTTTAATGAAAACTATTTTTTCTGGGTTTAATTTTTATCATCTAATAATTTTGGCCTATGAAACAAAGTATAATTTCTAAATGGAGCCTTTATATTATGTAATTATCAAATAACTCTCATGTAATCACTTAGTAGCTCTTTTATTCGTGTGGCTTATACCCTCCCTTTTCCAGGTTCTCTTACCTCTCCTTTTTTTTTCTCAGCATACCAAATATGGAAATTATGTTTTGTATTTTCTGTTTCTATTGCATGTGAAAGATAACTCTCCATATCAGATACCACCATGTTTTTTTGTTGTTTGTTTTAAGTTACAGTAGGAAACTTCACCATCTAGGCAAAATTGTTTCTTTAGCTAAGAATACCAATATTCCAGGGTTTTAATGTAATCCTCTTCTCTCATCTAAAAACATTAAAGTTCACCCTCTTTTTTTCAGGTAACAAGTAATTGCTCATTGAAACTAATTGCCCATTATCGTTCCACCTTGTATTTCTTTTTCAGAAAGTATATTTTTTATTCTTTCCTCCTTATCAAGTTCCCTTTTACCCCAGCTATCCTGAACATTACAGAAATGATGCCTCCAGATTGAGATTATTTAATACTAGAGGCCCGATGCACAAAGATTCATGCAAGAATGGCCTTCCTTCCCCTGGCTGCTGGCACTGCCTTCGCTCCAGTCGGAGCCACCTTTCCACCTTTCACGCTGCCGAGAGGCCCGGAGCAGCTGGGGCGGTGCAGAACACCTGCGTCATCACCATGGTGACGATGCAAGCGTCCCACCCTGCCCCCAGCTACTCGGTGCCTGTGTATGCAAATTAACCCACCACCTTTGTTGGGTTAATTTGAATACCCACTCCTGATTGGCTGGTGGGTGTCACGAAGGCACAGTCAGTTTGCATCTTTCTATTTTATTAGTGTAGATTTGTAATTACAGCCCCCTTAGAATCTCTCTAATTTGGAAGAATTAACGAGTGTTTTATTTCTATCTTCTTTGTGATATATACTAGAATATTTGTTCACATGGAACAGAAAAACTCTTTATATCAAATTAAAATAAAAATTGTCCACATTTAGGTAAAAGAAATAAAAGTATGGTTTAAGCCTACAAAGGGAAATACTGATTACAGTGTTTATAACAGAAAAGATAATCAGCAGAAAAAAAGATGGGAGCCATAGTTAAAAATCAAAGTTTTAATATAACTGAATGCTTTTAATTGCTTACTAGGTAAAAGTTATTTTTGAAATGTTAATAAATGAACTTTAAAATGCCGTTCCCTTTAGGGGTAAGTCTTGATTCCCGGAGGGGAGTGTGGGCACACATTTTCCTCTTAGTTCTTTATTCAAGTTGTGATTATTTGCTTCATATCACAGATAAAATATGAGTCTGGAATAAGGTCAAGTATAGTATTACTCCTTGACACATATAGTAAGTTATATAAGGGATTTCCTGTCTTCTAAGAGTGAAAACTATTGCAGATCAAGAAAATTTAAATTAGGAGAGAGTAGACTGAAATTCTCATGAGACAAAATTTGATAAATCTTTACATTTATTCAAACTGCTGCTCAACTTTATATAGCAGGTTATGATGTTCTTACGAATTCTGAAGTGTTAATTAGCGCGCGCTCTCTCTCTCTCTCTCTCTCTCTCTCTCTTACCTTCCAGAGATTTTAAATCAGCCAACTCTAAATTCTAGATGAATTGATATATTTTTTCCAGTTTTCCTATTGCTCGTTCTGAATAGGCAGAATATTATTGTTTTTGCTCCCATGTTTTTTTGATTCATGTTTTCATTTGCCCATCAATCCCACTCTACTTGTGTTCTCTTTCTTTTATAATAGGGACATTCTTGCTTTTAAAAAAACTGTAACAGCTTTCAAGAGAATGGATAAAGTACTTCAATTCCTTGAAGCCTGAAGTTCTCCACAATAATTTCATAGTCACATATTATTTTAGGGGTAATAATTTAGCCCTTATAAAAAACACCATTAATCTCTTCACTCATTGCTGTCAGTGTTTTATTTTTCCAGTTTAAAGTAATCTCTAAATGACAATGCTTGACTCTCTTTATCTCTTGAGATAATTATTACCAATAATAATATGAAAAAGAATAGTTAGGGCTTTTTGAGTGCTTAGTATGTGCCACGCACTGTTTTAAGTGCTTACATGTAATAACTCACTTAATCTACACAAATATTTTTTAAGGTGGCTTACTATTTTTATTATCATTTACAAATAAAAAATTAAAGTACAGAAAAGTTAAGTAACTTAACCCTTTAAAAAAAAATAAGATCATACAGCTAGTAAGGGGTAGAGCTAGAATTCCAAACTAGTAGTCTGGCTCCAAAATTCACCATCTTAAGCACTATGCTCTGCCATCTTTCATACATCTAAGCTATTTGTTTATATAATCTATTCATAAATAGAAATATCTCTTGTCAGATAATCACTTTACTACCTTAATGCTGTTTGGGCAAAAAACAAAAGTTATTCTTTTACCTTCTTTTTGCTAAGACTGCTAAAATTAATTTTTCTGCTTTGATAAAGTACATTTGGAAACCCATAATTACTCTGAAAAATCACAGTGTTTCATTTTAATGAAAGAAAATAAGATGTTGCCAAAACCGGTTTGGCTCAGTGGATAGAGCGAAGGCCTGCGGACTGAAGGGTCCCGGGTTCGATTCCGGTCGAGGGCATGTACCTGGGTTGCGGGCACATCCCCAGTGGGAGATGTGCAGGAAGCAGCTGATCGATATTTCTAACTCTCTATCTCTCTCCCTTCCTCTCTGTAAAAAATCAATAAAATATAAAAAATTTAAAAAAAAGATGTATACAATTTTTAATAGCTAAATGTAGAAATCAGAATTTCAACTTTACTGTTATT